CTGTTGCCAAGGTTTACTGGGGCCCATCTCTGTCTGTCCAAGAATACCCCGCCTGTGTGTGGAGCACCGACCTCCACGCCCTCAGTCCTCACCTAGACCTCTACCTGCGCCCCCTCCAAGGTTAAACTCCGAAAATATTAATTAGCTCGTGGTGATGGGTGGAGTGTGAGGGTGGCAAGGGGTGGAGTGTGAGGTATGAGAATGGTGAAGGGTGAAGTTCTCATCTAGTTGTGCTTGTGGGTGTTGAGCTCTTTGGTCCCGCCTCTCAACTGTCAATCAACTGGTGTCTATCATATCTACATTTGAAACTATAAATGTGGAGAAGTCCGCCTCCACCATATCACTTCCTAATACATTCCACTTGTTAACTGCTCTGGGACTAAAAAAAAAATCTTTCTAACTCTCTGTGGCTCATTTGGGAACTGTTTCCACCTGTGACTACGTGTTCGTGTTCCACCACGAAATAGTTTATCTTTATCTACCCTGTCATTTCATTAGAGAATTTTGTATGTGGTTATCATGTATCCCGACTCTTGTCTTCCAGGGACGTCAGACGTCACGAATGAATGAAATGGAATGAACGTCCCTGGAATGAAAGGCTATTCCCGTAGCCTTTCCTTGCAACTCATACCTCTCAGCTCTGGGACTTGTCTGGTGGCATACCTCCAAATCTTCTCTAACTTTCTCTTGTGTTTAACTAGGTATGGACTCCAGGCTGGAGCTGTATACTCCCGGATTGGTCTCACATATTTACCTGAATCACTCCCCAATAGCTCATTCTGACATGCTACTAGAACAATATGCAAGCACTGCTAGCATATCGAATCTGCCCCAAAATGTACATTTTGCTAGTACTAATGTTAATAAAAGGATTTTGATATTTAAATTACCTGTAGTGAAATGGGTCCAGATGATGTTTATGACATCTATTTGAACTTGAAACTACACTTAAGAAGGGCAGAGCAGCTTTTGGAGACGATGGCATAACGTACAGTACCCTGAGGGGTCTTGTCGACATACTTATAGTCCGCTGCTAGAACTGTACAAAGTTTATGACGAGGTGTCCTACCAGATCGCTGGACGCATAGCCTCATAACCGCTATAACCCTAAGCCAAACTCGAACAAATTTAGGCCGGTATCTTTAACTTCTTGCATGTGCACGGCCCTTGAGAGGAGTGTTCTCAGTAGGCTAATGATGCAAATCAAAGGTCAACTCACTTCTTACATGCATGGCTTTCTCCATGGGAGAAATGGCTGTGTTGTGCAAAGCAAGTTTTTTTTGGTGGAGGGTGAAACGGTGCGCCTTGTCTGTCAGCGACGAGGAGGGCGACCGGGCGCCATGGCGGGTACGAGAACGCGGGCCTACGAGCCTTACGGGCTATTCATTCCCGTGCCACCTTTTGGGTGGCTTAATCTTCATCAGTCATCAATCAGTCTACGAGCCCACTCTCTATGATCGCGTGCTACAGGGCACTCGCTGCTCGTCGAGACCTTTTCCACCTCCCTGGCGCCATATCCACTCCCCCCTCCTTGGTGCCATATCCACTCCCCCCTCCCTGGTGCCATACCCACTCCCACCTCCCTGCCCCCACTCCACAAGTACACATTACGAGCTAGTGGGAGGATGTCATAGTCGGCCCCCAACCCCCCACCATCCGGCACAACTTTACCGCATGTATCCCTCTTATCAATGTTTTTGTATTCGTGTATAATTTAGACATGTAATCATTTTATTCCATTACTTTATTATTCAGGTACGCCTCATGTTTACATTCGTCTTTATTCTACCCATATAAGTGGGTAATTATGCGCAATTATTAATGTTAATTATATAGGATCAAATTCCTCGCGTATAGGCGATTTGCATCCTTAGGTATCGGTATTACTTGCATGAAATTTAATTGTAGGATGTAATCTAACATTGTATATGTCATTTACGTCTCACTAAGGTTGCAGCTGCATGCGCCCATGTTTACGTAAATTAGGTGTACAAGAACTGTAAAGATTTTATGGTAATTAACGTCCATACCTATTACTCTTGCATAATAGGTACGCATGTACCCCTTGCACATGCACACCATAGGCTGCAACTCACAGTTGCAAAATACTAGCATCCTGCAGTTGCAAATGTTACATAATTATGGTAATAATTATTATTAATAATAATAAATATTTATATCGCATATGGTGTTCCAGTTTCACCCGCTCGTCCAAAAGTATCTTGCTTTGCAGAGTAACCAAGCAATATCAAGCAGGAACCAATCACACGCCTTCAGGAGCACTATGCTTACGCTGATCTGTTCGAATGTCAACAGGTCGCACTGCAGCAGCCTGTAGAATATACAAAGACAACATATGTACACAGACCACAAGTGTGAGACTGAATAACTGACTTAGCTTTACGTATGCACAAGGTACCATCTGGGAGGTGAAATCCTGCAAGAGTTAAATAGAGAGAAAGATCTGGGGGTTGATATACCGATCCTGTCCCCCCAGAAGCCCACATCAAGAGGATATCATCAGCGGCATATGATAGATTGGCCAACATAAGAACTGCCTTTTGAAACTTGTGTAAGGAATCATTCAGAACCTTGAATACCACTTATGTCAGACCATTCCTGGAGTATGCAGCTCCAGCCTGGAGTCCGTACCTAGTTAAACACAAGACAAAGTTAGAGTAGAGTCAGAGATATTCCACCAGATTAGTCCCAAAGTGAGAGATATGAGTTATGAGGAAAGGCTACCGGGGCTAAACTTCACTTCCCTGGAAGATAGAAGAGTTAGGGAAGACATGATCACCACCTACACAATTCTCAGGGTGGACAAAGACAAACTATTAAGCATGAGTGGAACACGAACAAGGGCGACACAGGTGGAAACTGAGTACCCAAATGAGCCACAGAGACATTAGAAAGAATTTGTTCAGTGTCAGAGAAGTTAACAAATTGAATGCATTAGGCAGTGATATGATGGAGGCTGACTCCATACACAGTTTCAAATGTAGATATGATAGAACCCAGTAGGCTCAGGAACCTGTACACCAGTTGATTGACAGTTGAGAGGCGGGACCAAAGAGCCAAAGTTCAACCCCGCAAGCACAACTAGGTGAGTACATGCAGAATTAGCTGTACAACAACTTGCCACTAACGCACTGAAGAACAGTGGAGGCGTCACTGACTCCTCACTGACAGAAGTCACTGACTTCTGTCACTGACAGAAGAGCAGTCACTGACACTCAAAAGTCAGAAAGTACGAGTACATAGAGCTATTACATTTTTAGAACCGAGAATTATATGTACAGGCAGCATAAAACGTTCACTAGACAGTGTGACACTGTAATTGCCATAATTAGGCTGGCAATTATGCCATCTATGGCAGGTGGCTGCAGGTAATGAATCCCCGAATGGTGAACATTCCAAGTGTAAACTATGTGAACAAGAGCGGGGACATACTCTCCAACACTATATCTGTGATTGCCCTGTTATCAGTGATTTCAGTCCAAATGGTATGCGGTACTTTGAGCTCTGTAACTGCTTCATACACTCGAATATTAGAAGATATTCTTGTGCTGTACCCAGTGTGCTAGTGCAGGCTAATAGATCAGCCTTATATTTCGTGTTCTGATTCCATGTATGACTATCCACAAGGTCTTCTCTGAATACTCTTTATTTTCTTCTTCGAGGCTATGGGTCCCTGCAATTGCACCAAAGGTGGTACCCCTATTTTATATATATATATATATATATATATATATATATATATATATATATATATATATATATATATATATATATATATATATATATATATATGTATATATATATATAATATGTGCGTGTGTGCCCATTGCTTCTGAGACACTCAGCGCCTGGGTTTTTTTGAAGGAACTGGGTTCTAGGCTAATTGAAACAACAAGAAACCCTAGAGCTGTCAGCTTCCTTTTCCAGCGCCTCAATGTGGCGATACAGAGGGGAAATGCACACTGCATTCAGGGCTCCTGCCCGCCATCTGAGGAGCTGTAGGAGCTAGACAACTTATGATAATCATCTTTGTACCATATATGTAACTCCTTTTTTGTAGCCAAGTTTAAATAAAACAAATATACATGCATATATACAAAAGAATGAGGGTGGTAGGTGAAGAAAATATTAAGGTGTTCAATGAGAATCCACAAGATCTTCTCTGAATACTGTTTATTTTCTGCTCCGAGGCTATGGGTCCTCACACTTGCACTTGAGGTAGTACCCTCACAACTTATATTATTATTAATTTATTTACACTATGCGTACTAGTGACTCTAGGTATTGTATGTACTAGCTCTATCTATAAATCCAACATTATGTTTGTAAATCAACTCTATGTATGTACTTTCCTGAATAAAATTTACTTTACTTACTACTTTACATATTTATATATACCCGGCCACGGCAGGATTTACAGAAGGCGTGGCTGCCGAATAAAGGCAGGCATTAACCTTGTAACCAACGAAGGGCAACATGGCCGGATAGGCCGGTTGTCTCTGGGGAAAGCCCGTGGCGACAGTAATGTTTCCTGGCCGTATTTTACCTAGAATTTCTGGCAAACGTTACTTTCTACTTTGTAGTGATGGCGTTTGTCTTTGCTAACATTACTATTATATACATATGTATATAGTTACCCTGCACCCTGCTTAATGTCTAGCTATACAGTATATTCAATTATTGTATGTAGTCTATTAATATGACTTGAAGAAAGACTTTTGTGGTTAGTAAATAAGAAGAGGGGAGAGTGTAGGAGGTGCAGGGAGGATTGCTAGAGCCAACGAGGGGAGTGACAGATCAATACAGGGAGGTGCCGGGTGAGCCGGTAGGGGCAAGGTCATTCTAAGGATTCACTTTCCTCTTGGGCGTGTACTGAATCTACGCCATTTGGGTATCTCAAACGCGTTTCTGTAGCTTGCTAAAGACAAAATAGGTTGACGGTGTGTGTTAAATGTCTGTTATATACACGCGTCGGTGTTCTGGAAATAATGTGAATGGGTTTAAAGTGCGCGGTGAAGGAGGAGGAGGGAGAGCGCGCCTGCGCGAGCCGAGGGGATGAAGGGCGTTTGAAGGAGAGAGTGGACAATATAGCAGGGGACGAGGCCAGGCTCTCACACAGCGTCACCAGGCCCCACCATCACCACCACACCAGGTACTCCTCTCCCTAACCTTCTTTCTTCCCTTTTCGGCCTTCCTCCTCCCGTCCTGCTGCGGCCAGCATCTTGTGTAGAGGCAAGTGAAGGACGTCCTTTCAGCCGGATTGTGGAGGTTACGTTATAAAGGCCGCCGGTCTCCTGTGAGACACTTTAAATAATTTTAGCCGACACCATCGTTCGTGGTAGTGAAGTGGCGTCACCTTGTACGGGTAATTACACCTGATATTACGACCTAATTAGCTCTATGGTTTCTAATTTTGTATCGACGGAGTTGATAAAAGAGCCGTGTTTTCTAAGATTTAAGTATAACAATTGTGGTATACCTGAGGTTTGCCGGCGTGTGCGTGACGTTCAGATCATAATTCTCTTTGTCGCATATAAATATCATGCCTATATAAGTATATATTTATATGTATATAGGGTGGAAGATGGCATCATTCTTCTCTATGCACCGGCCCAGCATCATTGTCTGCATCATGATTTATTGAATTATGTGCTCATCAATCACTTGTTACGGTCGTCACTGGATGGGGTAACAGCGCAGGCAGCTCTAATCTTGGCTAGGGAGAGACCTATTGACAGGTTCCTTGCTCCCGAGAGTTTAGTAGGCCTATAATATGCTAAAGCGATGAGCAGTGTCTTTTTGCTCAGAATTATTGATCAGCCTGCGCGGTGTATCATGGCGTAGGATGCTCCCGTGACCCATATATGTAGTCCACCAAGGTGGATATCATTCACGGTACGTGCTATATTGTTCATTAACGAGCGGTGAACATTAAACGCAATTTATGGTGGAAATCTGTGTGAGAGAGAGAGAAAACCTTGAGGCTGGGGCGGGGCCTTGCATCAGCCGGAACTTTCGTCATACTGAGCGCGCCTGAGCAATGTGCATCAATACGCCATTATTACATACCTAACATACCTTGTCATAGGAATGTAATCCAGCACACAGCTCACAACTAGTGAGATGTTCAGCGGACCTTCCATGTCCATACAAGACACACTTGAGCACGGTTTCCTGTCAGCGTCGTCATATTTTTATATATATGGGTAATTGCGTTAACAGTGGAGAAATAATCTCACCGGATGAGAGCAGGTAACTAACTGTTCCAAGTGTTTTGCGCTGATGTAAAAACTGCAGTTAGTTAGGGCCTGGTTGAGGTAGGAAAACTGTCTTAAGCCTGTAAGACCTGGCCGGCTGCCAGTTTCAGAGGTCGGCCAAGAACATTTCAAGGTGAACCTTGCCTGTGTAGGTTATTTCATAGTAACTTTCATTTTCATAGCTAATGTAGATATTTGGACATTATCTTGATGTGAATTAATCAAGGGGGGCATTATTTTATATTTGATTGTTTTAACTTGCCAAGATTGAGAGCAGTGTGGTGTTAGTAGTGTAGTGCACCTATTATCTGCATCTTGCAAGAGAGGTTAGGTGTAGGCTTGCAAAAAAAATCATACCTGACAGATTAATCAACACATTCTTTAAATTGATAATTGGTTTATTCAGTACAACAGACAAGTAACAGACAGGATGAATCTTGCATACAGTACTGTACAGTGTAATAGATTTTTCTCAAATATAAATCAGTATTGTGCTTTTATGCATAAATAGCTCTAGGTAGGGAATTTTTCGTCATTGGTTTAGGAAGTGGTTTTAATACAGGTTGCAAGTGCATTAAGCACATTTCCAAGTCATGGCTTGCAAGCTTTAAATCAAATACTAATGCATAGACACTCAATATTGAAACAAACTGTTTGCTTTGATAATGGGCTGGATTAATTTGGTGCCTGTTAAGTTTGTAGATTGTTGAGCTTTTATCAGCCTACATTGTGAACAGTGAAAATTACATCCTTGAAGCACATGTATGTTATGTCAATAGTTTCTTAAGTTTATTTTTAACCCTATATAGCTTATTCATCCTGTGTCCTGTAGCACTGTAGTTTGTCACTGCTAATTTTATAGCACTGTTAAAAAAGTTCCTTGTTGCATACCTCCCACAGAGTAAATATATCATTTTTTATTAGGATAGGTTAGAATTTTTAAGGAATATCATTGCTGTAGAACGATAACTACTGTGGGCTTTTTTTAACCCTACTTGATTTTATTGGATTATTCATGTGTGTGGCTTTTCATCCTTGGCAGTATGATCGATGGTTTAATTTAGTTCATTTATTACGAATCTTGTACCTATTCTTTGGGTGGTACTGTAGTAGAAAAGGTTAGAGGTACATAATGGCTTAGGAACTGAACCCAGGAAAGTAATGTAGCTAAGCAAGTTAGTCTTGATAAGCTAGTTACAGTTTAATGTATACTGTATTATATCAACAATGGGTTTGAGAATGACCCCAGGTAGTCTCAAAGCCAAATAGTTTACTTATACAGTGAGCTAGTGTTATCATTTATCTTATCATGCAAATCACACCTCATCCAGTGGGCAGTAGTGGAAAGATTAGAATTGCCCACATTTACTATCTACACTTAGCAGACTGGGGATATTTGGCTAAAAGTTTTGGTAGATCATTTTGAAAGAAATATTTACACATTTCTTGAACACTTATTATATAGAACTGATTCTAAATTCACTTGTCTTGTTCTCGGATCTGAGGAAACATTTAAGAGAATGGTCCTCCATATAATAAGAACTATACTATCCAACCCAAATATATGGCTATGTGCATGAAAGGAGTGTGCATTATTGCATTACCACCTTTTCTTATCCTCCACACTAAAAAGTTATATACTGTACATTCTTCCTAGATCTTGAGCTAGATCTTGAATTAAAAATATTGGTGGTCGGTTTCTTTGTGGATCGGAGGTTACTTGTCTAACAAGAAGTCATCTGTGTTGTTCCAGGGGCATAGGAGTGTAATAAGACTGACTAGGCACCTCACAGGGAGGTGTCCTCAGCACTACCCTATTTCAAATTTTAATATGTGCTATTAAACTTTGCTTAGCAAACCCAATGTTCACATAATTAGCTATGCTGCTGATATATACCACTGGATATGCTAACATGCAAGGCACTCTTAACTCTGCATTAGACCCGTGTTAGGACCTAGGTTTGGTTATCTCATTACATAAAACAAAGATGCTAAATTGACATCCACCTAGGCAGGGAGGTGTTGTTTGCAAAATGCATCTGTTTGATGGGGCTCACAGGGAGCTTGCATAGGATTAAAATAGTTTTGATTCCTTTCTACTTTCTTAATGGCCTTTTGCCCTCTTCACCTCACTGGATTTTGTGATTCTTGCATCTTTAGTGCGATAGTTTCTATTTCTCCAAACAGCCTTCTTTGTCGTTCTTGAGGTAATGAAGTATTTGAGATGTTTGATTTGTTTTTATCACCTATATAAGGTATGCCATTTTCATTCCAGTTTGCATCTTTTTTTCTAGTCAGTGGTATGTGACTTGCATATACCTGTATTTCTAATGCTACTGTGCCTATTTTCTCAAGGCATTGGTTAAGTTTACATTATCTAGCTGTCTTTCCTAGCATATTTCTGTGAGATCTTAGTTTATTTGTTCCAAGTTAATCCTTTTATTATTAAAATTGAATTTGCTGAATTTTCCTCCTCTCTGATACAAGACTAGATGCATTGGTCTATTGCCCATACACTTTGAACTTCAAATAGGTTGTGATCTGAGTAACATGTACAGTATTTGTAATCATTGTCTCTAATCAGTTCATCATTGTTTGTAAAAATAAGAGCTAGGGTGTTTTATTTGTTTTAATTTTTGTGTTATCGTAGGGGGGCCTCGTAGCCTGGTGGATAGCGCGCAGGACTCGTAATTCTGTGGCGCGGGTTCGATTCCCGCACGAGGCAGAAACAAATGGGCAAAGTTTCTTTCACCCTGAATGCCCCTGTTACCTAGCAGTAAATAGGTACCTGGGAGTTAGTCAGCTGTCACGGGCTGCTTCCTGGGGGTGGAGGCCTGGTCGAGGACCGGGCCGCGGGGACACTAAAGCCCCGAAATCATCTCAAGATAACCTCAAGATAACCATCTTTGAAAAATAGTACAAAAGTGTTGGTTGCAATGGTTCATTTTTGCACTTTCGATGAAATGGTTACTATCAATACCTGTACTGCAATTTAGGAGGACGGCTTGAAATAACTCATTTTGCATTCACATACTTTTGTCATTTCTCCTTGCAACATTTTAATATTTGACCTAATTTATCTTGAAATTAGACACACTTTTACACCTTAAATTTCCTTACGTTTAGACACTTGATGTACACTTTTCTCTGTACACCCACCTCCCATCTGCTGTATATTTCCACAGCACTGCATGATGATTGTTTACAAATAAATCTGAATTCCCTTTTATACCATGCACACTATACTTTTTAACACCTGTGAATTCATACCATTTTTGTAGATTTTCCCACTTGATTGTTCTATTGATTCCATGATTTCCCCCCATCTCACTCTGTCCTATAACATTTTCTAACATACTGGAGCATATGTACTTAGATACCATGTATACGTACCTCACTGTACCTATCTTGCAATCAGTGCAATGTATTTTTTGAATTGCTCATGCTCCTAACATACTCCCTCATTCTGTGACATATGCAAAGCTACACCCCCGTTTATTTTACCCCTATTATTTCCATCCATTCCTCGCTATGCATCTAAACTTCTGAAACTCTCCCAACACAGATTTTTCAGTTCTCCCACTTGCCCCTTCCCATCAACATGTCATGCTCACACCTAACACATCTATTCACCATTTATACAATTTACTTTTCATTTCTTCTTTCCTGCCCACATTTATTTCATTAACATTAAATGTAGACACTTGCCTACCAAATTATGCTTCACTGCTCTTTTTTCCTGGATGCCCTTCACCTGCTGGCTGGTAGCAAATCGTGAGGGACTGTAGTCGGATCATCTTGCTACCTGATAAAAACCGGCATGCTTCTCTGAAAATCGGAGAATCTGTTAATATGCTAAATGACTTTTTGTCAAACATTGAAAGAAGTCAAAACTATTAGGGATTAAAAACCTATGTAAACAGAGTCCAGATGTCCATCCACTGTCAATATTTGCTGAGAGATACTCCCTAACCCTATAGTTCAACCACAAATATTATAATAGAAATATTGTACAACCACACATTGTAATGCTGTACAAATATTATAACAAGATCACCATGAGAAGGCTAAGTGAAACTTGGATACCTTACCAGTTAGGGTATTTGACGAGATATATACCTTACGCATGCAGACCTGTGTAAGGTAAACGGTCAGCTCTCATATCAGGAGAGGCCTAAGGACTAACAAATACAAATGAAACTTGACAGGACTAATACATAGACCTTTTAAAAAACTGAACATGTTAAAGACTCGCTTCACGAGTGATTTGGCCGAGATATATATTTTGTCCATGAAAGATTGACTAGGCGCCAGTCCTTAACTGTACACCTCTGTTCACCCAGCAGTGATTGGATGCCTGGTTGTTAAATGATTGGCTGGTTGTATTCCAGGGAAACTAGTAGGTAATGCTTGTGATGTGGGTAACCATGAGCTATGATAAAAGAAAGCTCTCAGCCTGCTAACAGGAATCAGATGTTGGCTGCTCCTGTACCCACCTGTGTTAAAAAAAAATAAAATAAACTGCCTCACGCTCAACAAGCTACAATGTAGGATAGATAACAAGTGGAAGTGCTTTTTTTTCACTTGTAGTAAAGGGCCCACTTAAATTAATATCTTGCCCACTGAAGTCAAGTAATGGAATGGAATCTTCCAAAAGCCACTAGCTTCATGTTCTTATTGAGGCAACCAGAGATGGTGGCTGGTTATATTGTACCGGTATACGCAAGGTACACCCTATATCAAATTTGTAATTCTTATATTTGCACCAAACTGGAATAATATCCTATCACATCAATAGGAACTCTTGAGTCTTCCGACTACTTCCTAGTTATTTGTCAATCCATGCCCGTTGGTAGGGTTGTTGGTCTTTTGTTACTGATAACAAACTGTGTGGTTTTAAGGATAGCATTTCCCATGGCCTTCCTCCTAACACCGTAACCAGTGGTGGGACACTGCTCTGGCAAGGTTACATATTGTCCATACTTGTAATTCACAGGTACTAATGGAGCACTGCCCTGCTTCTTATTGCCTGAACTGCATTGTCCCTCTTATGGTCGTGCATATCCTTGTTGACTGTCACGACTTCGAGGACGTGCGTGCGTCTTGCTTCCCGACTGTCCCTCGCGGTCGCTTGTACCTCGAAAGAATCCTTGATGAATCCGATGCCTTTGATATCGCTCACCTTATGTGCATTTGTTCTTGTATTGGCATCCTTGGTAATATTTAGTGCCTTTTGAATATCCTGCAACTTGGATAGTGCTACATAGTCTTCCTGTGAGCAGTGATAAAGGTTAGAGACAGGTAATATGTTCAGGAAGTGAACCTCAATACTTGTTTAGCTAGACAAATTACAGCATTAACGAACTAGTTACATAGTTTAACAAATACAGGAGCAGTCACTACAGTGTGTATAGGCAGTCTAAGCCTATACACACTATCAGATTAACTGCAGGCTTTAGTGACAACTTAACTTTCATAAAAACCCACCTACCTGAATGCCTCCTTGTTTATTAATGATACTGTACTATTAAATCTTGAGGGGTGGGGCAGATGTTTTATAAATTTTCATAATTTTAATTGCTAATTGCATGAATTAACAATTGCAATAGTTTCCACAGGTCCAGCATGACTACCTACTTCAGCTACCCCGACCAAGCCCTCCAGGATGAGCTGCGCAGGATTGCCAATGCCATCACTGCTAAGGGCAAGGGCATTCTAGCAGCAGATGAATCTGTTTCCACAATGGGCAAGCGTCTGGCAGATATTGGTGTGGAGAACACTGATGAGAACCGACGCAAGTACCGTCAGCTTCTCTTCACTACTGACAAGGTATTGCTCGTTGCTGATCAATTATTTTTCTGCTTTAATGTTTAATATTTACTCAAATTTTTAGTGACTGAATAAACATGTAGTGTGCTAAATTGTATTTGCAATTATTGTGCATAATTTTAACATTCAAAGCAATTTTGCTTGTTAGGGTGTGAGACTAATTCATAAATGCAGTGAAATACAGTACAGTATTGTATATTCTAAATCACTGAATAATGTGGACTCTGCCATCCTTTGAAATCTGCATCACTGTCGGTAATTGCTCCTGTTTCCTCTATACCTGTACTGTATATTAGTTTACTCTCATCCAACACATGCCCAGCCTCTCATATCTTTGCCAACAAAAAACACTGTTTTCTCTGTGAATAATGTATGTATGTTGTGGTACATGCTAGCGGATATTATTGTAGCCTTATCTAAACGTTATCCATCCTGTCATTTTGCTCCTCCCATTTCCCTGCCCAAGAATGGAGGGGGGGAGAGTTAATGACAAATGTGATCCACTTGTCACTAACGAACCCATCCACTATCGCCTATACAAGCAGCCTGCCACCCACCAACTAACCAATCATCTGGCTGCTCTTTATCCTAACCCTCCTTGATCCCGTCTCCACACACGCCTACCTCTAAACCTAGTTGCACCGTCAATAATTTCAATCTGGGTAAAATGTGCATATAATGGTAACTTTACTATAACTGGAAGCATAACCCTATTTTTATTTTTTCATGCATTATTCAGTTTTTATAACATAGTTATTTAGGTAATGTAACAATCACATTTTATAAACACTTTTGGATTGTTGAACCATTATCAATAATCAATATTTTCGTGCATAATGGTAAATAACTTTTTCAGTAATAAAAATTCAGTTATTATAGACATATTTAGTTATTGTTTGTATGATAGTTTAATACTGTAATTCAATAATTGAGCATTCTCTCTTTTGTATTTTGTAGTCTGTGTCCCAGTACATTTCCGGTGTGATCCTCTTCCACGAGACCCTCTACCAGAAAGCTGATGATGGAACACCCTTTGTTGATCTCATTAAGGAGAGGGGTATCATTGCTGGCATTAAGGTACTGTATATAATCTAGCAATCTATAATAATAATAATAATAATGAAAACTATATTGTATATATTTGTTATAAAAAAAACATTGTTTTGTGGCAATTTTTTTTTATCAGTGGTATTATCACTGCTAATTACACAACTTGTTTTATCTGCTTTCATTAGAGTAAATATCTTGGGCAATACAATGCCATGGAACCATGCCAATTAATTAAATTAACACCACAGCCTATTGTGGTGACGTATTTTAATGAAACCTTATTTAGTAATACAGTATTGTACACTGTGCGAGATCTCTGGTATAATTTGTCGTCGTTGTATGCACAGGTGGACAAGGGTGTGGTGCCACTGATGGGGTCTGAGGGAGAGAGCACCACTCAGGGTTTGGATGACCTCTCTCAGCGCTGTGCTCAGTACAAGAAGGATGGTTGTGACTTTGCTAAGTGGCGTTGTGTGCTGAAGATTGGCAAGAACACCCCCAGCTACCAGAGCATGCTTGAAAATGCTAATGTTCTGGCACGTTATGCATCCATCTGCCAAATGAATGGGCTCGTTCCTATTGTTGAACCAGAGGTAAGTTGGATAAAATGTTAATTCAGATGTATATGTTGTTGAATATGACTGAAAGGGTAAGATCAATAATTCTAACACGAATCTTCTCGACCAAACCAAAATATACAGATGTATATGTATACATGTGTATGTATGTGTATATAAATGGCACGATTAATCAGAATGGGTATAGAGATTCGAAAGAATCTAGCATTTTCAATAATCTGAATCTCTCATAATGTTGGAGAAATTTATCATTATTTGTGATTCTTAGATTTTTAACATTTAATAACATTAATTTTTCATTTAGAGTAATAATTAAAATTGTTTAAATTATAATTAACCCCTGCACTGCACACTGGTTCACACAAAAAAAAATATAAAAATTATTTTTTTAGTTTGACGTAATTTAGATAATTTAGTTAATTAGCTTTCAGGAAGCACAAAATCAAAGTGTACAATCTTTCTCTTATGGTTTAGCTGTAGTGGGCTGGAGAAGTTGCTTTTCCGGTAGAAATGAGGTGAGGTGCCGCATGGGAATAAATTTGTAGATTTATTTTCATTGTTTCTCACTTTATTTACTTTTTTGTTGTTAAAAGTTGTACTGATGTGGTGATGGTGGTGGTCTTACCGGGTATGTATGACATATGTACAGGTGTGTGTGTAAATATACGCACACTGTCTATTTACTTGCACTGATATACATATACAGTTCAGTATAGTATATATATATTTATAAACCTAAATCTTGTAATTGCATATAGCATACATTTTGCCTGTAAATATATACCAGTACAGTGGTACCTCAGTTTTTGTATTTAATCCGTTCCCAGAGATGATACGAAAACTGAAAAATACAATTGCCAAAAAATAAGAAAACTGAAACAAATTTTCCCCTAAGAAATAATGTAAATTGAATTAATCCGTTCCACACCCCAAAATATATTGACTAAAAAAATACATTTTATACAGAATAATACTCTTAGGTACCGTACCTTTATTGAGGACTCTTGTTGGCATATGGAGGACAGTGAGGAAGGGAGGATGGAGGAGAGGTGTTATTGTTTGGAAGGGGAGTCCTCTTCCATTATAACAGCAGTGATAACATTGCTGGGGTACTCTCTCTTACGTTTTACAGACATACCACTAGAACCTGGTTGGGGTTCATTGCTTGCTTGTCTTGCTAAGAATCTGTCGATAGACACCTGGGGCCAGATTCACAAAGCAGTTACGCAAGTACTTACGAACGTGTACATCTTTCCTCAGTCTTTGACAGTTTTGGTTGCATTTATTAAACATGGAGCGAGTATAATGTTTGTTTACTCGCTACAAATAGTTTACAAGCATGAAAACTTCCCAATCAATTTTTGTTATTGTTATAAACAGCCTCCTAGTGCTTTGGAGCTCATTAACTGTTTAATAATTGTAAACAAAGCTGCCATAGATTGAGAAAAGTTGTACAGATTCGTAAGTACTTGTGTAACTGCTTCGTGAATCTGGCCCCTGGTTTTTCCCTATGTTTTAACACTTGTCTGTAGCGAGACATCACATTCTCATTATGAATGATCTCTTGTTTTTCCTGTCATCATCGTCAACTATTTTCTTAGGTTGAACATTACCACTGACTTTCTTGGAACCCATAGTGGAATATATAATAAGAACTTTCATGTTCAGAAACCAAAAAAGCAATGAAATTCTTCACAAAGAATTAAAATGTGATCATCACTAGGCGAGAGACACTCGTAAACTGAAGTGCCACGCGCTTGGTGGACCTGTACGCGTATAAACAAACTCCGAAAACCAAGGCAATGAGTTCCACATCTAATTTTTGGAAGAAATTGAGTACGAGAACCGAAAAATACGAAAACGGGCATACTTAAACCGAGGTTCCACTGTACATGGTAATGACTTTTGCTGCTGTTGAAAGTTTAGGGGCTCCTAGTATGGCCATCCTGCATGTTCAGACACTGGGTGGTGATGTGCCAGACATGACCCTCCTCTTCCTACTAAGGCCCTAGAAAGAAAAGATCTCATGATTAATTTTTTTATCCCCCCCCCAAAATGGGAGGAAGGGGATGGTTACTAGAGGCCTGAGGAAGCAAATTTGAGCCTTATTTAGGCATGGAAGTTTTAAATTTTATGATAGGCTTAAAACAACCCTAGTTGTGGTGAGCATTAATGAATGACCCTGGTTGTGGTGCAGTGCAGCGGTTAACAATTGGTTATACAGGCATACCTCAGAATAAGAGTTTAATCCGTTCCTGGAGACGCCTCGCCTTCCGAAAACTCGCATTCCGAAGTTAATTTCCCCATAAGAAATAAAGGGAAATGAATTAATCCGTTCCTGACTACCCCAAAAACCCCACATCAAACTAAATTTTTATACCTAATTCATCTAAATAAACCTACAAAACTGTGTTCCAGTTATTACTTACCTTACTGTCGAGTGCTGTAGGCGTATGGAAGATGGTGAGGAGGGGGGAGGAGGAGAGGAGTTACTGTTTGGAAGGGGAGTCCCCTTCCATAATCACATCACATAACCCCATGCCTTGTAACACTATGGATACCACTTCTCTTTCTAAATTTTTCAAACCAGCCCCTGCTTGCCTTAAACTCTTTCTTATCTGCATCACTCGTTGCAGGGGTATTCTTTAGAAGGTCTTCGTGCAACACCCTGGCTTTCTCACAAATAATGGCCTCCGAAACACTATCACCCCTCAACTCCTTGTCGTGTATCCAAATTAATAACAACTTTTCCACTTCTTCAAGTATTTGTGCCGTTAATGTTCTTACTCCTTTTGCCACTTTAGCACCCATAATCTTATTTTTCTTCTTAAGTATAGTGCATATTGTTGATGTGGCTTTGTTGTACTGCCTACAAAGTTCAACAACACGTGTACCGTTCTCATGCTTCCGAATGATCTCTTGTTTCTCCTCTATTGTCATCCTCACAGGAGCTTTCTGGCCTTTATCCTTACCACTGGCTTTCTTGGGACCCATGGTGAGATATATAATAACAAATTGTATAGACAAATCACCAAAAATCCAACAAAACACTGAAAATCCGCGAGAAGAATTGATGTGGGGGTAGTCACTGAGCGCCAGACAATAATAAACTGAGGGGCGGCGGGGCAGAGGGGCGACGAACGCGCTAGGTCGGCTGTACGCGTATCAACAAACTCGCGTCCAAACTCGCCTCCCGAAGTAACCCTCGCCTTCTGAGACAAATTTTTGGAGTAAATACACCTCGCCTTCCGAAAATCTCGCATACAGGGACAATCGCATTCCGAGGTACCACTGTACTGGAAAGTTTCATTTGACAGCCATTACAGTGGTGGACAGTCAACAAAGATGGCTTTCCTAATACGGCTCTTCTTGCCAGAAAATATTTGTTCACACTCCCTTCATCAGTTGAAAGTGAAATGCTTTTCAGTGTTAGTGGTACAGTACATTCACCAAAAAGATATAGAATGCAGGCAAAAACAGGGAGAAATGCTTGTTTTTTTACATTACAAAATAAGTCTTTTGTGACTGAATTTTTTCTTATTCACTTGTACTTGCTATCTTTAATCTATGTAATGCTTTTTCAGTATAAACCAAAAATGAAATTTGTTCTAATTTAACTACTACTGTATTGCAATAGAATTTTATTTGAAAAAGTATTGGAAATTGTACAAGTGTGCAGTGTGATGGGTAATATGTTTTCGGTGCTTCGTATTTTCGTGCATTTTGTAGATTAAAGATTACCTTTTGAGTAAAAAAATAATTAGTTATGCTTTAATTGAGCTAATGTCGCAATATTAACTTCATTTGAAATAAGATTACAATTTTATTTTTATTGTATGGGTACACAAGTAAAGTGTATATCTGCATGTATAGTGGAATGGTTTTTTCACTTTTCAGGTTTCTTCCAGATTAAACTGCATGAACCAATTATTTTCTTCTTAAATTAATATTGTATTATATTAATACAATTACCGTGCATATCATGTAAATCGTAAAGTTTGTCCAAACTAAAATATTTATTTTCAACAGGTTCTCCCCGACGGTGAACACGATTTGGATCGTGCCCAGAAGGTGACGGAGACTGTCCTAGCCTTCGTCTACAAGGCTCTTAATGACCATCACGTCTTCCTTGAGGGTACCTTGCTCAAGCCAAACATGGTTACTGCTGGACAGTCCTGCCCTAAAAAATACACCCCTGAAGAGGTTGCGAAGGTAAAAATGCCATACAGTATACACTGTTAATGTGTGTGGTTATAATATGCTTGTTGAATAATTAGTACATACAGTATAGTGGATTATAGATTGTTGTTTTTTGAGAGGTTTTAATAGCTAGAAACATTGAATACCGTGCCAGATTAATGGATAGGTAAATTAGGCGGAAGCCTAAATCTTCCCTGATATAGAAGTTGCAATAAAAAAAGTCTATTTACCATTTACTAAAATATTTTTAATTTTCATATGTTGCAGGAAAGAAATCATGTCATTGATGTAAAGATTTTAGACTTAAATATTTTGTTAATTGAAAGGCAAATTGTGTGATTTGAAAATATTAATTTTATGTACAATATTACAGTGCTGAGTTTTATTTACAAGTTATTTTGACAACTTCCCATTGAAAATTTCAGCCCCGAGCCTACCAAGTGCTTACTACAGCTGATACACAATAAAGCAAGAATACATTTTTAATAAATCTATTCACATTATACTGTAACTTCATATTGTGTTGCAGGCAACAGTGGTTACCCTTTCACGCACCATGCCTGCCGCCGTTCCTGGAGTGACGTTCTTGTCTGGTGGCCAGTCAGAAGAGGAAGCCTCTGTTCATCTGGATGCCATCAACAAATGTGTTGAAGCCAAGAAGCCATGGGCTCTAACCTTCAGTTACGGCCGTGCCCTCCAGGCGTCTGTGCTCAGGGCTTGGGGTGGCAAGGACGATAGTGTTAAGAGTGGTCAGGATGAGCTGTTGAAACGTGCTAAGGTACGTCTAAAGAATTGAATTCATTTATCATGTTAATGTTATTTAATATTGCATATTAACATAAATGTTTTAGTAATGAATGGCATGAACCAGTGATATATATCATTTAAGACTATGGTGTACAAAGTATACCTACATAGCATAGTGTTACCTTACTGGGGTTTCTTTCCTCATGATCTGATGGTAATGTCTGTTGTCTTGTGGTATTCAATCTTTGACTATTTGCCTAAGATTAATCCTTTTTAAATTTTGGGATATGATACAAAATACAGATGGCTTGAATTTAATAGCGTAATGTAAAATTCCCCTCAACAATGGGACTTTTTTTGTTATTTTGTCTTTTTGATGAGCATTGGCAGTTTTTTAATTGGCAATGACATTGCTCTATGGTTTTACCAATTAAGTTTAGTATTTGATAAAGATTTTGAACAAGCTGTTGTGTTGCAGGCTAACAGTGAAGCGGCACAGGGCATCTACCAGTGGGGGTCGTGCAAGGGTTACGCTGCTGATGCTGGGCTCTTCATCAAGGACCACGCTTACTAAGTCACTCCACAAGACACATGAAAGAACTGAAGCTCCACTTATTGCTTCAATTTATTTTAAAGGGCTATGTAAAATAATTGATTTACCTTTACTGTGTTAATCACGAAATAGATTGATTACAATAATGTGGAAATTCAACGTTCTCACTATTTAATTAACGATCTATGTAGAGGCATCACCTGCAAGTCATAATTTAAAATAAATTTTGCTTGTGATGCTGTGTTGTACCTGTATTAAATGCTGTTTTAAAAAAAAATATTGAGTTTAAATATTCATATTAAACATAGTGTGCATATTGAAAGTAGGATTGAAGTTATTTGCTTCTGCTAACATCTACAATAAGGAAGCACAATATGAAGTATAGGAAGATAGCATGGAGGAAACCCAGTATTAGTTTCCCCCATTCCTCGTAAGACCTACATGTAATACAAGAATATCTTTGTTTTCACTCTTGAACAGAGCCATGGGAAAACAAATATATATATACTTCAGCTTGTCTTAATTTATTTAAAACAGTTGGAAATGGTGATTGCAAAGAGAATGAACTTCTAATGCTATTTCAGGAATGTTGTCACTAGAGGGGGTTATATAGAAAAGCAGAATATAAAAAAAAAGTTGAACTGTATCGACCACTACCAGAGAATTTTTAGTGGTCAAGTGGAAACGAAGGTATTTTTGAAGTATATTGTACTTTTAGATACATTATGAGCCAGTTTGCAACTTCTATGTATTAGCTTCTGTGAAAATTATAAAAGGTTCATTGATAACTTAAAATATTATAAAAGACCTTGAACTTGCATGTTCCAAAACTGTAACCATTTGATCTTTGAGCCTTTTATTTTTAGTCCCTTGCAATAAAACCACAGCAGTGAAAAACTTTTGAAATGTATGTTGTTCACTGTATTCGTATGTAGTGCAGTGTTACAGGTATTGCCAAGGGCAGTTAAAGAAGCAGGCAAAAGACAGACATCGGGTGCTGCTCCTGCTATGGAACCAGCATCTGCAAGAGGCGAGCAATCTGTACATTTGTATATTGGTCTGGAATGTGTATGTTGTTATATATTATATATGTGAAACCTTTGCCAGAAAATTTTATTAATGTTGTGTATTAAAGAATTGCCCCCAAAAAAGGCACGTGATACTTTCTGAAATAGAATCAAGGTAATATAGGGATATTATGCCATGTTATATTGGGTGAACATTTTCAGGCACACTTATATGTCTTAGGCCCTAGCCCCCTTCCCCCATTTACAAGTGGACTTGACATAATGTTGATACCATCACAAGCTGTGCTGTAATTATATGGTTAATATAGTAGGTAACAACCTCACTAACTTCATCCAGGCAGGAAATTATTCACAGGATAAATTAAGTAACCTGAAGTTGGTGCACCATTAACCCAGCTAAAGCCTGTTAACTACAGTATTTGGCCAGCTGCAGAAAACTAGTAAACTGAACACAAACCTCTAAACTGTATAACCAGAAACATTGGCAAAGAAACGATTTAGGAGTGAAAATGTTCTAGTCAATGAAAAAGGTAGTAATGTGTTCATTTTAGGTTAAGGGAGATTTACAGAAAATTAATAATTGGTTCAGGCTGCATGAAAGGCATTTTATATTTATAGATAATGCTAAAAATTCAACATTAGGATTATTTTCCTGAGCAAATGGTTTTCCCAATCATATTTTTCACTTATGAGAATGCAAGAACGAAGCAGACATGAATTATGAATGTGAGGGTCAAAGTACTGAAATAAATGATTCATCACTCTGTTGTGTTTTAATCCAGAGTAACACTTAAGATTCTAATATTTGTATTACATTGATAATTTGCATAAGATTCAGATTTTATAAGGTATGGAGAAAATGTGTATTGGTGATTATTAGTGTTAGGAGGCCTGGTCGACAACCAGGACTGGGGACGCTAAGCCCCGAAAACACCTCAAGGTAGTGTGACAAACTGTGTAAATTGTGTAGAACAAATTTTCTTAGATGATAGTAATGCTTTTTCCTGCCATTCATGCTCTTGTTTTGTTCAGATGAGTTGGAAGTCTGCAAACAGTGTTTGCTATTTTTGTTTCCTGTCACTTAACTCATTTGATTTTTTGGTAAATTCCATTGTCTTTTGATGTCGTTAGCCCTATGTACCAGTACTTCTGATCTTGTAGAGGCATCTCTAACACCATTTATTACTTTAATATACCACAACACAGGAGGCAGTGCTAAACAGTCTTACCAGCTTTGTGCCTCTTGATACTTTGAACAGCCATAACTGATCAATTTGGTGAAAGTGAATTAATATTAGGGTTTCTTCATACTTTCTATACTTTGTACCTTTTAATTTATGCTCTTGTGCAATTTTGTGCCTTTCTTTTTCATTTTCAGTACTTGTATATATTCTTGCTAGGGGCAAATGTTTATTCTCATATCTCAGTGCAAGCAAACAATGGCTCATAAAACAGCCAAATCAGCATGTGAATATTCTCCCTTTTCTTCTTTTTTTAAATGTCCAAGAGTTAACACTTAAAAGGGAGCAAATTTTACGAGATTTGCATGTTGTTCAGTGTTTCCTTAATCATGGTAGGTAGTTCTCAGAGAATTAGTAAGTGGTGCATGTTTAATATATAATATAGTCTGTTTAATGAATTGCAGGTAATGTGTAAAAATCAAAACTTCTCTTGAGAAAGAGAGAGTACTGTTGCACGAGTTGTGGAATTAAAGGTGGAGGAGGAAATTTTAATATTTAACAAAGATGGCAAAAGGAAACAATTTAAGAATACTGCTAATGAAAGTTTTGTAATCTCTATCCCTGTTCAGTTGAAGGCTATGCTGTACCTCTTCCCTGGATTATTAAAACAAATGTATATGGTCTTTTTAGCTATGGTTTGTACTGGACATAGTGGCAGCAATTATGTGTAAGAATGTCAAAGGGAAAGAGTATTTCTGTAGTGTTATTTATTTGGGTATAGCAAAGCTTGTGCTCTAAATCAGAGGATGCATAAGGAGGCACTGAGGAAACTACACAATATTCCCTAAAACCAAAACATGGCAATGAACTGAAGCATTATGTGCAAGAAATCTTGCAGAATTCTTACTCTGTAATACGGTGTAGTTACAGGACGAGAGATACACTTGTGTTTCCTGTCTTTCCAGTACTATCACATGATGCTTTAAAACTACCGTGACTTTTGGCATCCACCACTTTGTGCAAGTTCAGCAAGTGCAGTTCAACAAGTTGTTGAATTTGTTCAACTGTCAACCATTCTGTTTGCAAAGTGAACATTTTTAATGTTTTTCTGGCAGCTTTGTTTACTTGGTTTGAATTTACGTCCTCTTGTTCTTGAATATGCAGTTTTCAAATGGTCGTCTTAGTCACTTTTGTCGATTCCTATTACTATTTTGTACATAGCGATCATGCCTTTTTTCTTCTTCCAGCTTTGGCATATTTAACACCTCTACCTCTCCTCAGAGCTCTTGCTGTTTACTTCTGGAAGCCATTTAGTTGCATGACTTTACACCTTTTCCAATTTACTGATATTCTTAAGATATGGGCACCATACAACCGCTGCATATTCCAATTTCGGTCTCATAAAAGTCATGAACAATTTCTTCAAATATTTCACTGTCCAGATATTTAAAACGATTCTAACAACGGAAAGCATAGCATGCACTCCTCGCACAACATTTTGTGATATTTGGGCAAGTGTTCCCAGAACTGCTTCTAAGTCTTATTCTGTAAAGAATTGAGATAAAGATTTTTTGCAAAATTTGTAGGCTGTGTAGGGTCTATTACCTCCTATTCCGTATTCCATAATGTGCCATTTATTCTCATTAAATTCCATTTACCAGGTATTACGTCACTTATTTTGTCCAGTCTCTTTTGTAAGGGATAACAATCGTCTAAGTTTTTCTTCCTTAGTAACCTTAGCATCATCAGCAAACATGTTTATATAATTCTGTATTCCTTCTAGTAAATTTAGACAATGAACATTACTAGTGCTAGAACTGAACCCTGTGGTACTCCATTAGTAATTAATACTTCTCCAGTCTGATATATTCCCCCCCCCCCCCTTTGTTTTTCTCTCTCTCCCAAGTTAGGAAATGTTTTCATCCATGTCAGAAGTTTCCCTGTCATCTCTCCAGTATGTTGTAGTTTCCAAAACAACCTCATATGCGAGACTGTCAAAAGCCTTGTTTAGGTCCAGATAAATGCAGTCAACCCAGTCATCTTTTTCCTGTAAACTCTGGGGCTCTATCATGGAAATTAGATACATTTGTTTCATGGATTTTCCTGTTTGGAAACCATCCGTCTGTCTGCTATTATATAATTTTTCTCCAGGTGCTGTGCTTATTTAATTTTATTTTCTCTAATGTTTTGACTAAAACGTTTGTCAATGATACAGGTCTATAATGATCACCAATGATTGACGATTGAGAGGCAGGACCAAAGGAGCCAAAGCTCAATCCCCACAAGCACAACTAGGTGAGTATAATTAAGATGTTCTTTCCTGCTACCATTTTTGTAAACTGGAACTATGTTTGCCTTTTTTCCATATATCTACCAAGACTTCTGTACACAATGATTACTGAAAATTCAGTTAAAGTGCAATGCCAAGCTCAGATGCACATTCTTTCAGGACACAAGGTGAAACTCCATCTGGTCCCATTATTTTGTTTTTCTACTTCATCTCAAGTTACCTCTATGTACTCTATGGATTTCTCTCTCAAACCTTTCAGTACACTAGGCCCCTTCCCCATCTCTTTACTGCCATCTTCTCAAATTTCTTCTTGTCACACTACACTCTTCACTTAACTACAGTAATATTTGTTCACCACTCCTCCATTCACCTACATTTAGGATTCCTTCTCAACACATTAGCAATATTTACAAAACCACCTTTCAATGCATTTATGCAATCTGCACAACCTCGCTCGTCGTCAAATCAACTTTGTTCATTACCTACCGTTCATTTTCATAACACTACCCTGAAATATTGATTAATGTCTAGACACTTAAATGAGGATTTAATTTAAGAGCTTTGAAAACAGCATAATTTATTGATGTAATTAATTTTAAGATTAACAGGTTTAAAATATAAGGACATAAAAATTGAATCCATTTAAAATCTATTTACTAATATCAAGTGCATTAATTCTGCATTGAAGGTTACAAATTTTAAGATTGTTCCTTTAATTTAAAATGGAAACTAATAATCATGTTTCTTTATATTTTACAATATTTATGAAATTTGGACCCATTTCAGAAGTCTACTAAGTGATCAACCTTGTGTAGAATACTTACTTTTAAATTAGGCAAAACATCTTTTTCAATAAACATTAAGTTATAGATGCAAATAGCACCTAAACCTTTGCTCAATATTTATGTACTGTACAACGAGTCTTCATAGCAGCTAATACTGGTGATTCTTCACAAAGAGACCAGCTTTGCCGGCAGCTCCAGAGCACGTCCCCGCAACATACTGGCCCAGCGATGCTGCTCCGTTGGCCTTTGCTCGCCTCAGTAGTTCAGCCTGTCCTGCTTTCACGTCCTTTCCACTCCATGCCTTGAGGGCAGATGCCTGCATTGCTCTTCCGTAGCTGAAAGTCAGAGCCCAAGGCTTCTTGCCGGCTGTGCACTTGTTTATGGCATCTAAGTGCACTGTGGCTTCCTCCTCTGACTGTCCACCAGAGAGGAAGCAAATTCCAGGCACTGCTGCTGGTACTGTCCGGGACAGTGCCAACACTGTTGCCTGCAAGAAGTACAAATTTAAATATTCAATTTAATCAAAGGCTCACTATAACAAAAGGAAGGAATAGCAAAGTCTTAAGCATGTGACACTGTCAAGTATTTAAGGAAAACACTTGGTTTATTTTATAGTTTTTCTAAAACCTTTAATTTAAAATCCCTGCATATACTTTAAAAGGCATCCTACCATGCAATCAGGCCGTATCTAGTTACCCCATCTAGCTGGCAAATCTTGCACAATCATATAAAAAAAGGTATTTACAATGCAAGTTCAGATTACCATGCATTTATCTTCTGCACTAACATAGTACAGTACAGTATATTTGCACAATTAATTTTTTTACCTCAGCAGCCTGCTGTGGTGTGTATTTTGTGGGACACTCTTGACCAGCCAGCACCATGTTGGGTTTAAGAAGGGTTCCTTCCAGGAAAACGTGGTGATCATTGAGAGCCTTGTAGGTGAAGGCCAGCACAGTCTCCGTCACTTTCTGTGCCCGGACCAGGTCATGGGACCCGTCCATCAGCACCTGACAAATTACCAATTTATAGTATTGATATTCAGCATTATTGTCTTAACTAATTGTTCAGCAATTTGAGCTTAAATAATAATCAAATTTTTCTTTTACATGTAGTCAAGCACAACAAGATAAATATAAACCCCTACCTCAGGCTCAACGATAGGAACAAGACCATTCATTTGACAAATTGAAGCGTAGCGAGCCAAAACGTTGGCATTCTCCAGCATACCAAGGTAACTTGGAGTGTTTTGACCAATCTTCAAGACACAGCGCCACTTGGCAAAGTCACAGCCATCAGCCTTGTATTGAGCACACCGCTTGGCCAGGTCATCGAGGCCCTGGGTAGTACTCTCTCCCTCTGATCCCATGAGTGGCACCACACCCTTGTCCACCTGTGATGCAAAACAACAATTTTCCAAGTGTGTTTACTAGTTTTATAGAAGAGGAGCATAAAGTACTACTACTACATTTATGGCTATAATGATTTTGTATACATAAAAGTACATTTAAGAAATCCCTAGTAATTAATACTAACTTTAATAAGGTTTGTGTCCATTACTGAAATAAGGTTATTGGCACAAACCTACCTTTATGCCTGGGATGATGCCCAACTCTTTGATGAGGTCGACAAACGGGCGTCCATCATCAGACTTCTGGTAGAGTGTCTCGTGGAAGAGGATCACGCCAGAGATATTGTTGCCCAGTTCCTGTTGATGTAGCATACTTTATTAGATTTTATAGCTACATTTTTACACTAACAAAATATTATGCCGATACTCTTCTTTGGCTCATCAAGACGTACAATTTCAGGTAATAACCAGGTAATCTAGTTTCCAAACCATTACTCCCAATAAGTTAAATAACCCTTAACTAGCATTTTTTTATCTACAATCTCTTATCTATTTCATGCACAACATTTGACCTGAAGACAAGAACGCCTAGGTTTAACCCAAGTTATGCATATCTAGAAAGCAAATTTAGTTCTCATAACCCCTATATTCCCCACATGCCAATGATTTCAGTCATTGTGCTATATGGCTTCTGGATAGCCACAAGTCCTTCCTTTATGGGCTATTCATGCCCTTACGGGGTGAGAATAGCTTGAGCTACCTCATCCCTTTGTGTATTTTACCTCAATAAAATTATTTCAATTTCAATTCATGCCCATGCCACCTTTTGGGTGGCTTAATCTTTATCAATCAAGTCCTTAATTAAGGAACTTTAAAGATTTTAGTTTTGGACGTTGAATGTAGCATCATCATACCTTATCTGAAGTGAAGAGTAGCTGGCGGTACTGGCGGCGATTCTCTTCAGTGTTCTCGAGGCCGATGTCAGCGAGGCGCTTCCCCATGGTGCCCGTTGATTCATCGGCGGCCAGGATGCCCTTGCCGGGGGCCACAATGGCATTGGCAATACGTTTTAGCTCCTCCTGAAGCTCTGGGGCTGGGTAATCGAAGTAGGTAGTCATGATGGTGATGCCTAGAAGACAAAACACATCATTAGCGGTTTTTTTATAATGCTATGGTTCAAAATATGTTTAATTTTTTTATTTCTGATGGTATCAGAAATGTCATTTGTGTCTAGCTGCGTAAAAAACACAGATGGTGTTTTATTTCTGATTTTAGTCATGATGGTGATACCTAGGAAGCAACACACATTAGCGGTTTTTTTATAATGCTATGGTTGAAAATGTGTTTTTCTTTTTTATTTCTGGAGTAACAAATTAAAAATGCCAATCTGTTTTTTTGTTCATATAATTAACATGCTTTAATTATTTACACATCGATTTGCAGTACAGTATCTGACATATCAATTTAATGCTAAATATAACACAAATGTTGAGCATAAACCTCTGTCTATACAAAATTTTACACTGCTATGAACCTAAGGGGATTTTTATGTATTGTCCAGACTATAGTGCATTAACAGTTAAAAAGGTATTTTGACCGATACATTTTCCTTCACATTAAAACTATTATTACAAGAAATTAACCACATGCATTGGTTAAAGTAATTATGAATGCAATATATAATTTGTTGTGAATACAGTTAAATCCAGCATTTCATGATTGGAGGCATGCAGATTGTGAAAGCGAGTTTTACAATATCCCCCAATCATGAACAAAATCATCATATATAGTTAAGCGAAGGGAGGACGAGACAAGAACAGGAAAATATGGGGGGGGGGTGTCAAGGGCTCATGGTAAGGGAAAAGGTGGGAGGGAGAGAGTGCATGGAAGGGGGAGGAGAGGTCGAGGGCATGTGGAAAGGAATGGGGTCGAGTATAGGAAGCTCTTCAACGTGTTTATAACGTTACCTACAAAAACCTATGAACACAAATTTTAATTCCCACAAGAGGAGGGAAGCAGAGTCAACTTCAAGATTGCTGCCATCTTGACAAATGAACTGTCAATTAACTTCAAAAAGAAAGGCAGAAGTGCTGATAGAATATTCTTTAAATCCTTAAAATTTGTTACATCATGGTTGGATTGAGTACGTACTGCTACCCAAATATGAATGAAATCTATATTTACTAGATTGTTTAATATATATATATACAAGGAACAGACTTGCATATACACTAAATATACATATACAAATAAATATCCATATACACTAAAGCACAAGCGAGTTGCTTCTAAACTAGTTTTTACGTAATCCACATTCCAAATGAATGTCTGCATGAAAGCCTCGTGTACCGGGGATCTCTTGATCTTAGTTCACAAACATTTCCAACTTTAAATTTTCCCAAGTCACACTAAGGCGAGGCATATACGTGATAACTTATCATTCTTATCGAAGGCCGCAGTTTCGTCACAATCATATATCCGTATAGATACTATATGTACATGTAGAACCTAAACCATGAAATTTGTCCATTTAATCGCCAACAGTAACTGTGCACACACGCATCCCCCATTGGAGTTTTAACACTACAGAACATGCAATTGCGAAGAACTTTCACCTTGGTGACCTTGATGCAGCGCTTTGATTTCTCTCTCCTGTGTGATATGAACTCGGTACAGATTTTTTTCCTCAAAACCAAGGAGTAAAATTATTGATATAAACCAAGTACATAAACCCGCTTTAGCCAATTTGGCTATTCATTGCCAGGGACAGAAGCCTAGTTTGTTTATAGATGTCCCTCTGGGCTAATTAATAGTGGACGGTAGACCGACGGTCTCGCTTCATGCAGGTCGGCGATCAATCTCCGACCGTTTAAGTGGGTGGGCACCATTCCATCCCACCGTCCTATCCTAAATCCTTATCCCTTCTAAGTGCTGTATACTCGTAATGGCTTGACGCTTTCTCCTGATAGTTCCCCCCCCCTCCGGCTAGTATATGCTTATAGTCTCTCTGATTGGTTTTTTTCTGATTACTTCCCACCTAGGATGCACTGACAGTTCGGCGAGAAGGATAGATGAAATTGTTTATGTAATAATCTCCGTTATGCTTTTTGCGCTACCGTTCACAGGATGAGTATGGGGTGCACAATAAACTAGCCGCCTCCGGCGGCAATAATCAAAAATAATTTCTTATATAAACCCAAGTTCCACCTATTTTTTACTAGGCGAGCAGAGGAATTAGTTGAAGGGAAACGCTCAAAAAATCTTGCCTCGCTCTGCGTTCAGTAATCTTAACTGCCCAATCAGTTGTTGAAAATAATCTCTGGTCTTGGACTACTGGGGGAGGGGGGGCGTAGAAATGGCCTAAGCTACTCCAGCCTTTTTGAGATGCATCTTCGTCTCAAACTTACTTGGACTTGAACTTAAGACTACTTAATTATTGTAAGGCAACTGCATGTATACTGGTTAACGTAATTACCTATAACTGCGTAGATTCGTAATACCAATTTCAGATCCTCCCGATCGACTAGAGCCACAGTGGTGTTAGCAGCAAGAGTTATGTATGCTATCATTTCTAGGGCAACCGACGTTTGACAAAGTACATATATTGCCAAGGTCGAACGAAACAGAATGGGGAATTGTTTTTATTAAACTACATAAAGTAAAATTATAAAGCAGAAGTGTAAATGAACATGACGGAGTTCCCATAAGGGCGCAGAGTAGAGAGGTGATGTGCGTGCTTATGTGAACAACTTTCCAAGGACATGAGGAAGAGAATACAGGATAACTATCTAAGTTCGTACCGAGTAGGTGAACGTAAAGTACTAGGTAGCAAGACGAGTGAGGGGTGCATGAGGGTAAGGGGTGACAGTTTAGGTAGGGAAGCATGCAAGTTATAAACAGATTTAAGACTAAAAAAATTTTTTTAAACCTTTCTTCTTCTTGATAGTAGGTGCAGTTTGCATGAAGGGTTTGTCCTCCCGATGACTGCACCAGATTTAAACCTTTACATGGCGCCCGATGGGCGGGATAGGGAGTGAGCCTCCCTCACCACCAGCACGGCTGGCGTCAGCCCCCATATACAAATATACAACATTTCTTTAGATAATAGTATCGGGCCATTATCTCTAACGAGATTGATCTCTCCAGGCGAGATACTGAGCAAGGAGCGAGAGCAGCGAGGAGTCCCCAGCCCTCCACCGCCAGAAGGTTAAAGTTGCACACAAACAAAAAACATGGCTTTTACATAATGCCAGTGACTGAACCCGTGCCAAGACCAGTCAAATGTTAAGGACTCTGATGTTACGGAATATACTTCTCAAGCTCTGAAATCGCACCAATATTATATAATTAGCAGCATGGCATTGAACAGATTGATGAAGATATAAGCCACCCAAGAGGTGGCACGGGCATGAATAACCCGTAATGTATTTAACAATTTTAACTATAGTCAAATTAAAAAAGGGTACACATCCACATCCCTGGACTCTTGAGGGATGTGGATGTACACCCATTGTGTGGCCTCAACATTTTCTTTATGCGACTAGTTCACAATTTTTATTTTTTTACATAGGTGGGTACAGGCAGACATGTACTGTAGCTTAGCTTAGAAATTGCTGTGGTCCACTCTTTGAACCCGTATCTACGGCAATATTTTAATTACGCATTAAAACTTTGTGTCTACTTTAAGCATGCAGGAGCGTTATACATTATATATTATATATATAAATAGCGTATCTAATAGTTATGCAAGCAACTGGCATCGTTTTATCAAGCCAACTAGTTACTCATTAGCATAAATTAAGTCCTACTGTCACCTCACGTCAAAATAAAAAGTAGGGTGATGCGGGCTATGGGTAAAACCAGCATACGCGACACGGTGGAGGAAGTACAAGGGCAGCAGAGCCACAATATACACGGTACACGGTACCTGTGTCTCAGGAGTACTCACCAGGGGGTCGTGTTGAGCGTCTGGTCGGTGGTGGCGTTGAGGACGGAGTGATCGGGTCCTGGTCCGAGGCGACCGGTCGGGCCCCGCATCAACGCTCAAGAACACTCCCTGTTACTAAGCCCTTCTTACGTTCACTTCCCCAATTCTACCGTTCGCTGTTTATCCATAACTCTTCCCTAACGTCGACCATAACGCGTTCTTTTCTAACAAAGCAGTCAAGGAAACGTTCTGATTAAACATTTGATGGTACGCTGCTTTCTCTGGAGCCTGAACGCAAAAAAATGGCAGGCAAAACGAATCAAAATTTCAGTCTGTCTCAAAGAGTAAGAAATATTCTCTTACTAACATGTGTCGAGGGTCACGTACCGCTGCTTATAGGGACCAGTTCAGAATAAACAATCAGCGTATCCTAACCCGTACGGGAGTGTGACATAGAGCCCAAACTCGCTTATCTTGGAGGCGTGTCGGGGGTGTGTGATCAAGCCCGGATGCTCATTGGCTGTTGTAGATCCAGCAGCCAATGAGGAGCCCACACTCGCCACTGCCATAAACACCTGTTGGACAAGTGTTTACACTGCCGTACACACTTGTGGGCAGGTGTTCACAAATGGGTATGTGAGTGGTCTACATTTCGCTGTTGCACCAGGTTCAATTGTATGAAAGTAAATGTGGCAATGTTGATAGAACGAACTGACGCTAAATATATATATATACGACGCATATACTCATTTATTTTGGTGCGAAATTAGTGCATGTTCTTGAAGGGTCACACCCTCTTCTCCACACTCTCTACTCCACACTCTCTACTTCACACCATCTACTCCACACCTGCTACTCCATACTATCTACTCCACACCATCTACTCCACTATTTTTGTATTAACAAGCCTAATATGTTTTATATTTTTAACTTTTCATGGAGGACTAGTTTATTGGGCAGCATCACTACTCGCCCTGTGAGTGAACATACCGATATAGCAGCATAGATACACGCAGGTGTTGCTACCCAATGATGTGTGAAGGATTGCAGAAACTATAAATGAAAAGTTCATCTTCAGGAGTAGCTATGAGTTCATCTAATCATCTAATATTCATCTAATCCCCTCTCACAGGATGGTTAGTCGTACATGAAGCTATGAGAGAACATGAGATGTTTTCAAAACATGAGATGACAAGTTAAGGAAACTCAATCTCACAACCTTAGAGAAGCAGAGGGGACATGATCACTACATACACAATACTGAAGGAGAGAAACAATGATGACAGACTCTTCAAATTTAGACCAAATAGGACAAGACATCGATGGGAAAACGACTCGGAGGAGAGAGGACAGGTTGGGGACCAGGAATGACTTCCTCAGAGTAGGGAAGCAAAATAGTTGGAAAATTTAAAAGCAGATATATTAATAATTCTCGTTGTCAGGAACTGAAATCCTGTACTTGAGATTGTAGAAATCTTCCTAGAGACACTACTGACCTTCATCAGCATGCAATCCACAGCAGTTGCTTAACTCCCGGATAAGATTTGTTGTTATAGATTCAGCTACTCGGAACAAGTTCCAAGTAGCACGGGCTATGGTGAGCCCGTAACTTACCTGGCACAGGAGCGGGGCAAGAAGCTCGGGCTATGGTTAGCCCCCCCCCCCCTCCGGATAAGAGCGATGGTTTGGCTTTATACAGGTCGGCGTTCAATCCCCGACCGTCCAAGTGACTGGGCACCATTCCTTCCCACCGTCCTATCCTAAATTCTTTTCCTCACTTCCCTTCCAAGTAGTATTATACGAGCAATATTATTATTATTATATATAATATATAATATATACTGTATTCGTAATGCCTTGGCGCTTTCTCCTGATAGTTACCTTGTTTTCCCAGGTACCTATTTTACTGCTAGGTGAACAAAACCATTAGGTGAAAGGAAACGTACCCAACCGTTTCTGTCCTCTCTGGGGGATCATATCCGGGTCCTTCGATTATAAACCGAGGACGCAGACCATCCCAAATTTGTTTCACAGCGACTTCAGCAGGAGAACAACAGAGAAGAAACAGATGATGAAATAGAAGCAAGGAGAAGACACATGTCATAGAGAACGACAGGAAGATATGTGAGGAACTAAACAGATGAAAGGTCTTGACAACAGAGCAAGGTTCCTGAAGTGATAGGGATGGTGTCACACAGCATGATCCATTTAAGCCAGTTCAGATGACCACATACGAAGGCGCCTCCTGCCGGAGCCGAGCACGACTAAGGCAGTCAAGAAGGTACCACCATTCACACTGAGAGAAGCAGAGGAAGGCTTGTGCTAGCCACTTAATGTTATATATAAAAACAAATCGCTTGAAACACGAGAGCCGCCAGAAAATCAGAAGACAGTCACTGGGTGTTATGTGACAGACATGAGCCACAGTCACAGCCCACGTAACACTGCTTATCATGCAGTGTGACAGAAAGGACAATAAATGTCAAGTATGTAATCTTGTGAAGGTCTTAAAACCAGAACCAGTAAACGGTAAGGCATTTAACTTTAATATCACGTACACTTACGTGAGCACACGTACTTGTACGTGCTAAATACAATGTACTATGTACTATGGTTTTGACAAACGTCAACACCATAGCCAACTAGACGGTATTTAGGAAAGCTGCTGACTGTTATAGTACGGTTAATGGGTATTGGCGGTTAATGGGAACTGAAGGGGGGGTAAAGGGTACAGAATGGGGCTTAAGCAACGGCGTACATATTATATTATATTATATTATATTATATTATATTATATTATATTATATTATATAATATATATATATATATATATATATATATATATATATATATATATATATATATATATATATATATATATATATATATATATATATATATATATATATGTATACAATTTCTTCAGTGCAGCACAGGCAGGAAGCGCTGCCAATCACCGGGAAGCAGCCAAGTCACGTAAATACAGAGACCTTGATCACCACTACAATTTTGTCCCCATTGCCTCGGAGACACTTGGTGCCTGGGGTAAAAGTGCTGCAAGTTTTTTGAAGGAGCTGGGGTCCAAGCCAACTGAAACAAGTAGAGACCCTAGAGCCGCCAGGGACTCTCTACCCGCCAGGGAGAGAGAGAGAGAGAGAGAGAGAGAGAGAGAGAGAGAGAGAGAGAGAGAGAGAGAGAGAGAGAGAGAGAGAGAGAGAGAGAGGATCACATATGAACATTGTGGTGGAGAGGAGAGAGCATGTTCACATGACTCACTGGGTGAACACAGTAGAAGGTGAAGATTCCTCTTTCAGCGCCTTAGTGTGGCGATCCAGAGAGGAAATGCTCACTGCATCCATGGTTCCTGCCCGACATCTGAGGAGCTGGAGGAACTCTACAACTTGTGACAAGCAGCCTTGTACCTCTGCATGTAACCAATGTTGTAACCCATTTTGTGTAATGAAATTTTAAAATAAAGTTAGATATATACACACATACAAAAATAATAGGGGTGGTAGGAGAAGAAAATATCAAAGAGTTCAGTGAGGATCCACAAGGTCTTTTGTGAGTACTCTTAATTTTCTTCTCCGAGGCATGGGTCCCTACACTTGCACCAGAGGTGGTATCCCCTATATTATATATATATATATATATATATATATATATATATATATATATATATATATATATATATATATATATATATATATACAGAGAGAGAGAGAGAGAGAGAGAGAGAGAGAGAGAGAGAGAGAGAGAGAGAGAGAGAGAGAGAGAGAGAGAGAGAGAGAGAGAGAGAGAGGATCACATATGAACATTGTGGTGGAGAGGAGAGAGCATGTTCACATGACTCACTGGGTGAACACAGTAGAAGGTGAACACGGATGAGTCAACAATAGATGGATGAATCAACAACAGATCAACTGATGTTGACGAAACTCGCTACAGTATTGTATTACATTAAATAACAATACAACTGAATAAAATAACACTGCTCAAAATACGTAGACCATAATAAAAATAGAAGAGCACATTACTATGGTAAATATCAATACAAATAATACAATGTTATACAGTGACTCATACAATACTCATAATATAACACAGTACAATGGTACAAAAATTCTGATAAAACAACATAATACAATAATATTAAAATATACATAATACAACACAATACAATAGTAAAAAAATGTACATAATGCAACACAGTACAATAGATAAAAAAATCATAATGCAATACAATACAAAAATACCCATAATGAGGCTTAATGTGAGCCAGTGTTGCCAGATTGGGCTACAAATAGCGAATTGGGCTACTTTTGAGAGCCCCGCGCTCCCAAATTTTTAATTTCGCTACTTGCTACTTTTTGGGCTAATTTAAAAGCAAGATGTGCTAATTTGGGCTATTAATGTTAAGATTGTACGATTGCGAGTTACATGAAAGTAACTAAACTATAAATAATTGTAATTAATAATAATTGTAAATATTAATTAATACTAAATAATATTATTTAATAAATTAGTCCCAATTCAATGCAGAGTTTTCTTCCAAGCACAAAAACTTGTAAATATAAATACAAGATAATAGATAGATCGATAAATAAATAGACAACTTTCAAATATTGCACCAAGTAATGGCGAGAGGAAAAAAACTACAGTATACATTACATTTGAAATTAATAATGAATGAATGGTAATAAATTGGTGTATGTTTGTATGTATACCAGACAAAGACCATTTAATGGCAGAATTTAGCCATTTTGTGTAAAAACTTTTATATCTCATATTATTAGTTATAACAGTAATCGAAAAAAGTCATAGTTTGTATATACAAGAGATGAAGCAGAGAGCCATGAGCTAGAGCGATGTGCTGAGTCCATAAGGAGGCCGAGCTTCCAGAAATACCTTCCTGTGATTGGCTGTTGCGGGGAATACCAACACTCTTTTATGAATAAAATTTAAACTAAGAAATAGGTCCTTGTGCACAACAACAAGGTTGTTGTGAAAAAGAACAACAATTTCTGTTTTGCACCTGACAGAAATCTCCATCTAACTGAATAATTTACTCGAATAAGAGGGCAGAGCCGTGTATCATTATTTGTGTCAAGGCAACCCCCCAATAATAACGTCCCAAGTTAGGTAGCCAGCCCATTTTTATATAACATCTGTTATATCC